TTAAATAAGGCAATCAAGTATATTGTTTTTTTACGCATTACACGCGCGCGCACGGACATGCATGTACAAAATGACCATGTCAACTTGTCTACACTTTCAAATAGTTTCAATACATCTTTATATTCAAATTTCATCAAAAGATAAAAAAAATTCGGCTATATTAAGTATATCTGTCATTTAACGCTTTGCAAGCGTGCGCACGTGCATGCATATCCAAGTTGACCGTGTCATCTTATCTATACTATTAGTATATATCTACATATTTTGAGTTCAAAGCATTTCATCAAAAAGTATAAAAGTTACAGCTATATCAAGTATATTGGTCATTTTAGCGTTGCATGCGTGCGCACGTGCATGCATGTGCATGTTGACAATGTCGTCTTTTCTACATTAATAATATGTCTATATATTCTGAGTATCAAAGCATTACATCAAAAAATGTAAAAGTTATGGTTATAGCAAGTATATTGGTAATTTTACTCATTCCACGCGTACGCACGTGCATGCATGTGTGCGCTGACCATGTCATCTTGTCTACACTTCTAATATATCTTTATATTCTGAGTTTCAATGCAATTCATCAAAAAATGTACAAGTTAAGTCTATATCGATTATATTGGTTATTTCAATCATTGCGCACGCGAGCACGTGCATGCATGTGCATTCTGACCATGTCATCTTGTCTTCACTATTAATATATCCTTATATTCTGAGTATTAAAGTATTTCATCAAAAGATATGGAAATTTTGGCTATATCAAGTATATTGGTCATTCTACTCATTGCACGCACACGCACGTGCATGCAAGTGCATGCATGTGTGCGCTGATCATGTCATGTTGTGTGCACTTCTAATATATATTTATAATCTGAGAACCAAAGCAATTCATTAAAAAATGTGCAAGTTAAGTCTATATCATTTTTATTGGTTATTTCAATCAATGCGCATGCGCACACGTGCATGCATATACATTCTGACCATGTCATCTTGTCTACACTTTTAATATATCCTGATATCCTGAGTATCAAAGCATTTCATCAAAAAATATGAAAGTTATGGCTATATCAAGTATATCTGTCCTTTTACTCATTGCACGCGCGCGCACGTGCACACACATGCATGCATGTGTGCGCTGATCAAGTCTTCTTGTCTTCACTTCTAATATATATTAATATTCTGAGTTTCAAAGCAATTCATCAAAAAATGCACAAGTTAAGTCTATATCAATTGTATTGGTCATTTCAATCAATGCGCATGCGCGCACGTGCATGCATGTGCATTCTGACCATGTCATCTTGTCTACACTATTAATATATCCTTATATTCTGAGTATCAAAGCATTTCATCAAAAAATACAAAAGTTACAGCTATATCAATTAAATTGGTCATTTTACGTATTGCACGCGCACGCACGTGCATGCACGTGCGCGCAAAATGACCTTCGTTCCGCAAATCTACATAACATTCCTATTAACCCTAAAAAGGTTTCACCTCAATCGGATGTGTATTTTCGGAGATCACTCACGGACAAAAAAGTACCCAGGAAGAAAAATAATAATAATAATAATAATAAGAAACAGAGTAAAAACAATATGTTCCCAAACTTCGTTTGGGGAACATAATAAAGTATTTTTACAATTTGTAATTTTATCTCAGACAAAGACATTGGAAATGTAAATATTTTAAACTATAGCACAGAAATATTAATAAATACACTGGTCATGATTTTTTTTCTGTCTATTATCAATAACAAAATGTTGAATATCAACATAAACGAGCGTCCGACAAACAAATTTAAGAAATACGCACATTGAAGACAGAGATGGTTGCGCTTCGATGGATGACAGAATACTTTCGTTTTTGTTCACTGCAGCATGGCTGATATGCAAAGTATAGCACATGCATTCAGCAAACTAGGTAGCAATGTCTCCAAATGCGGTTCATAAACCTCATGATATGGAACATATCGAAACTCAACATGCTCTTTGTATATAATTAGAATTATAAAAGTATATACTTTGCAGGGAAATCATTAAAATCGTTTTCCCTTGCAAAAAAAAAACCCAACTTTTTATTCCCTCGAAACGAAGTTGGAGGGAATATAGTAAGGTGCTTGTAAGTGTGTGAGGGGGGAAGGGGGGGTAAACGGAAGTTACGCAAGTTATGTCATACCAGGATCAATATGCTCTTTTTGAGGGGATACTCCGCTTTACGGTGTCCTTGTTTTATTTTGACAGTTGTTACAAGGGTGTGCTTCCTGCGACAAACGAAGGAAAATCGTACGTTTATAAATAATAATATTAATTATCATTAACATATTTCAGGGTACGTGCAGGCGAGGATGTATTCAGGTTTGCGTTTGGATGTAATTATACTTGTTATAAATATATTCTAGGGAAGGGCGACTTTCTTGTAATCTTTTAGACAAGCATCACATCTTACACTGAAGCAAAACAACGCCTTCACCTCCCACCAGTATCTGGAATGGTTTGAAAATATTGTCTTATATTGCATGTACTTAGTAATTATAATTCGTCACGTTTACTTCCAGAGATGCATTTTGCCACCTCCTTCTGATGACCAGACATGTTAAAATTGGTTTATATTTTGGTTAAATTGGTTATAATGCAACAGCTGAATTGTTTTGAAATTTGTTTTATGATTTCATGTACTTGGTAATTATATAATTAAAGACATTTTCTTCAAGTTATATATTTCGCCACTTCGATCCTTCTGCTGATCAAGCATATGCCTTTCGTATACTCTTAATTATACAAGCGCTTTCTGAAAAATGTTGATATATGTATATTTCAACTACTTGCCTGTCTATCAAAAAGTATTAAGTAAAGTCAGATCCTATACAATCGCAACCCTTGAGCTTGATACAACCTGGAGGTTTTATAGTGTGCAAAAAAAAAACCGGTCGCTTAATCTTTCATTTTTTTATGATCAAAACACTTAGCAAAGACACCAAAACCCAATAGATGCAGAGCAACCCCTCGAAAGTAGTTGATTCAGAGAGAACAGTTTCTCATATGATTCTGTTCCATATCCCCATATTTCATCATAATGGAGCCAGCATAAATAATACAGACGTGGAAGAAAATCTACAGAAAGGTAACTCTTCCACCTAAAATTTGATTTGTATTGAACTAAGCTACGTAATAATTTAATGTACCTGTTCAATATATTTAGACATACTTTCTTATATTGATATATTTTTCATTCATTTTTTTCATCATTTTTTTTTTTTTTTTTTGCCATCTCCCTATGTGAACACACTTCTTTTACCTACCTCCTTACCTATCTAGTCCTTGTTGCATCCGGAGGCACATACGGCAAGGACTAGGGATTTCCATTCTTCTCTATTTTTGGCTATCCTTTCCACCTCTCCCTAGGTAAGTTTCATGTCTTTGAGTTCTTTTTCGACAGTTCGTTTCATGTTGTTTTTGACCGGCCTTTCCTCCTTCTCCCTACCGGGGTCCTTCTGAGTGCCACTCTTGTTATATCATTTGTTGGCTTTTTTGAGACGTGACCAATCCATCTCCATCTGTTTTCTTTCATCTGATACATATATACTCAGTACTTGGCAAACTGAAATTGGTAGTATGCCCACATCTTCTGAAAAATGTTTATGTAATTCCTGCCCATCTGTCCTTTTTTGAGCTCTTACTACAATTTTAGTTGACGCCAAAATCTTTCTGCATACGATTTTGAGGATGTCAATACCAGAAAGTAAAGAAGTTTAACTACTTGTGATGTTTATAATTATTACATGTACAAAATTTTATTTTTTGAGGTTTTGGAATTGAACTTAAATTGTTAGGTTGTGAGCTCATTGACTGCATTTCTACCTTTTTCACTCTATATCTACATACACTTTATATGTTTCGAGCAGTTCAAGAATATCACGAAAAAGCACTTTGGTTTATATATTTTAATTCATAAACAGAATATTCATTTATTTGATAAACTCTTCAATCAAACTTTTTTTTACACTGATACATAATTCTTCATTCTATGGGAATATTAGTTTAACATTGATGAATTATCTCAACAAGATATGTAGATTGTTCATAATATACATTTAATTTTCACATACACCTGGAGTTTTGTCCGCCCTTCTCTTCAAGTAATTTGAATCTAATTAATTTGAATCTAACTGAATAATGACACTGTGAGAGCGACAAATATGTTACAATGAACTGAATCATGAAATTGAAAGTTGAAAAATATGAATATGAAAAATAAATACTAAGATATAAGATGTCAACAATAACAATAAACAACGAGTGATATTGCACATATTCCTGAGTTCCAAAGGCAGTTTGTCCTCATCATAGAAAGTTTCGGGCCACTATGAAATGCCTGTATACTTTTTCATCATAACTTTTGAGTCTCCAGTTCAATAGTATATGAGAGAAGACGAGAGTTTCTGTGAATGCGGACTAGGACGATGTACTTACTTTCACAAATATTGCGTTGGATGTAAAACAATTTCTAGGTTGGATTTAGATGCCAGGGGAAAAAATATTAGAAATTTATGAAATTTTCGTCAATCATTTGCAAAATTTCTGAAAGGTCATGACATTTTTTAGTATAAATAAGAAAAAAGAAAGCGATTCTTTCTTTTTCATTCATTGACACCTCTTTTAGATAAACAAAAACATATGTAATCTATCCATATTCAAATGAGATAAGGCTCGATTATATCGAAGACATGTCTGATTTTTTGGTTTCTATGATAAAATAGATAGGCACTATAACAGAAATTTGGCATCTGTGTCCACACAACAACGACTATTCCCCAAGATTAGCAGTTTATTATCTCCAGTGTCGAAGAACTATATAAGAATTGTAACTCTTGCAATGTTAGCAATAGACGTATTGACAGGAAGTCGTTGGAATCCATTACAGCATACATCTTTTCTTTGTTTCTACGACACTTATGGAATTCTTGTATTTAATAACAATGGTTATACGTATTCATCCAAACGTATTCATCCAAAGAATTGCCTGTTATTTACTGGAAACCCTGTTCTTATTTGGCTTCTGTTCATCATGCCGGCAAAAGGATTACGTTGAGCCCTTCTAAGTAAGTTTCGGAGACGTGCATTCCTATTTGTAAATGTTCTTGGTTGAGTAGAAAGGCTACCTGCAGGTGTTTGTCTATTAACGAGTACTTGTTGAAGTCCGTTTCTGTTTATAGGTTGTCGTGATGATTGTTGACGTTGTATTTGTGCAAGCTGCTGTTGTGCAGGCACCTGTTCACGCCGAGATAGCTGAGGTGGTGGTGTGGGAGATGGCGACGACTGTTGTCTTTGTTGTGAACGAGGTAAGGGCGTTTGGGATCTGCTTAATCGCAGAACGGCTCTTTCATTTGGAGTTCCCATCATTTCTGCCTGTAACCTATTGCTGGATGTTTGTATCTCACGTCTTAGCTCCTGAATTTGTTGGAGTAATCCAGACCTCCTTCTTTGGAGCAATTGCAATGTATTTAGCACGGTTCTTGCCAAAGAAAATTGTCCATTTCTTGTATAGTCTTGTAGCTGTTGCTGTAATAATTCCTCGGCTTGTTGTTCACGCTGAAGTTGTCGAACCAAATTTACTGCTGAGTTGAATTGTTGCTGTGCATTTGCAACTGGTAATCTTCGCTGGAAAAATGCTTCCAATGTCGAATTAGTATTTTGAGAATTGTTCGTTGTGGAAGTACTTTGAGATGAATTTTCACGTTTAGGAGTAGCAGTTGCTTGGACTGTAATTGGTGGTGCAATTGTTTCTAATCTTTGAGGTGGTTGGAATCTATTTACTACTCTTTGTCTCCATTGATTCAAAAGACGTCGACCATTCGAGGTAGATGAGAGTCTTTGCATAAAATGAGATATCTGAGCTGCTGTCGGACGTGGTCGATTAGGAAATCTCTGTACGTGCATATTAGCTAAATGGGTAATCATTTGAGGATTAGTGAACTGTAAATTTGTAATGCGGTTTTGTCTGAGCATATTCAGTATTCTTCGTCTTCGTGCTAGAGGAAAACTATTTATAGTCGAAAAGAATTTTATGGAATCCGCAGGGTTTCGAACTACGACTTCAACCCGCGCCGTATTTTCTGGTATTTGTTGCGGACTCCCTTGAATATTTGTTTTTCTCTGTGATTGGTTAATAGTCTTTGGTGCTGTTGGTCTTTGAATAGCTTTGGTTTTTGGTTTTTGAATAGTTCTTGAATCTTTAAAAAGACTGTCTAAAGGTGGAAGAGGTACAGATGAAGATGGACTCTGAACATATTTTGTTTGAATAACTGATTTTTGTATAGTTAAGCCATGTCTTCTGAATGATACTGGTGATTGTTTGGACTGGGGAATGCTAGGCTTCAAGGGTCGTATTGTTTGATGAGCTATTGGAGAAACAATCTTAGATGATGGAATTTGTGCATCGAATTTAGGGACAGCCCCAATACCAAACAAGGCAGGGTCTAATCTATGACGTACATTGTGCACGTTGTGATTACTATTTCTCACTGGAACATTTTGAACTGTACTCTCCGATGTGCTTTGTAAGTGTATATTCGGGTCAAACGACGGATCAAGGAATTTATTTGAAGGAACTGAATGAAGGGTTTTAAGTTCATTCGGTGACACCCAAGTACTTTCTTTTCCTTGCTGGTCAATCAGTTTTTCCTTGGTTCCCCATGTTTCATTTACCGAGCTCGGAAGAGACGATGCAATCGAAGTTGGGTTGTGTTTAGATTTTTCAACTGAGGGGAACGCGGGTGAGTTGTTGATGGATTCTAGGGGTATTTGGCGGAAGGATGGACCAACAGTCGAAAGTGGAGATGGGTTCAAATTATCTTTAGGTGTTTTTGTAACATCGATTACAGATGGGACTGTTGTTATTATAGAATTACTTTGAATTAGAGGTGGTGTTGTTAACTGAATGGGCATAAGCATATCAAGCGACGGTACTTGGATTGTTAACATTTCTTTTTCGTTTTTTGGTGTAGTGGGAGCTAGAGTACTTTTCAAGTTCATATCAGGTTTAGTTGATTTTTGTTGATTTTCCTTGACGGCTTTATTCTCACTTGTTTCTGTAATATTTGCAGATTTTATGAGGTTATCTGTGGGATTTTGAAACAAATTTCCCTCGGAATTCACCAATGGGGGGTTGAATACCTCGGCTTCTGTGTTTACAATGTTGCCAAAAACATCCACATTTGGTAATTTGCTAGATGTCTCTATGTTTGTAAAAATATCAGTTTTAGAATTTGTGTTTTCGATAAATTTCAAGTTGTCAGCTATTGGTGAGTTTTTTGATTTCATTTTGGAGAAATTTATTCCGAGCGAGTCCACATCTGTCTTAGTGTTGGTAAGTTCATTATTTTTTGCAGAAAAACTATTTGAAAACGATACTGTCGTGCTCTCAAGATGCTTTAATGATCCGATTTTCTCAGTCTTGGACACTGTATGTTGTTTATCTGCGATACCTGACGATTCAGTTTGTGTCGTTTTTGCAACATTTCCAAATGCGTCTACTATTGCTGATGAACTAAAGATAGTTTGCCCCTGTTCTTTTTGCTTAACAGATGTCGATGCTGATAGATTGATGACATTGCTAATTGATTCTTTTTTCGGCTTCTTTATTGATAAGCTAGTAAGCGTATCTTTTGAAGATTTAATCTTTTCATTCTCAATATTTCCAGACAGATCAGCACTAGAGATTACTTGAGATGTATGACTTTCCTGGGTGTGAAATCCTTTGGACTGTGACTGGCTTTTTGAACTAAGTGAGCCAGCAGGACTGGAGAGAGCGCTGTCAGATCTGGATAAACTTTGAATGCCGTTATTTCTCTTATCTGATCCTTGTACAACATCTCCGAGGAAAGCTCCGCCATTTTGTGACAAAGAATTCTTGTTATTACCACTAAGTCCAAAGCCACCTACCTCAGCAGTGCTGCTCTGAAAATTTTGAGATAAAGACTGGGGTCTATTTTTACTTTTCCAAATTGATGGTGACAAGTTGTTCGCAGAACCCTTTGAAGAAAAACTGATTGCAAAATTGCTTCCTTGCTGAAAGTTTGACGAATGGGACATTTGATTGTTTTGAAAGCTTTTTAAATTATTTTGTGATCCAAATGCATTATGTCCCGTGGCCGAGCTTTGTATTTGGTTTGAAGTAGATAACTGTTGATTACTTCTCTGCATAGTTCTCCCCAATGACTGCTGTTGATCTCTACTCTGGACACTTCCAAAATTTCCAAATTTAGAATTAACCTCCCGCGGTTCCCCGCGAATCATCTCACTCCCACTACTAACAGTAAATCCACTGCTTCTGAATGAAGATGAAGATGAAAACATTTTTGATGATTCCATGTGAGTTTCCGTTTTTGTTGGCGATAGAAAGGATGACATTTCACCCTGAGAAGATGTGAACTTGGAGCTTTTTTCCTGCAGTTGTTCAGATCTTGACAATTGATTCTGACGTACGACATTAGAATTAAAAATGTCACCAAGCTGAGATGTACGATGTTGATTTTGTGTGTTTTGTGATTTCTGAGACGAATGAAAATTATTAGATTGGAAACTCCTTGAACTAGAAGAAAATGAATTTGTTGGTTTTATGTTGTTTGAACTGGGAGCAGTCAATTGAACATTGTTCACAGGGACAGCTGGAGAGTCCTTATTGGCTAGTAAATTCGGAGACTGAACAACATGTCCAACTGGAACAATTACTCCCAATCCATGTAATTGTTTTGCAAGTTCGTTTTCACGAACATTTTGCATTTTAGAGTCTTGTTTGTTAAAAGCATTTTGATTAGCCTGTCCGGAGCTGAGAACTTCATCAACTGGAACCAATACACCAATATCTTTTAATGGTTGAACGAGCTGTTCTGGGGATGAAGAAGGTAACTGGGCGGTGTCTGGAACCAGAGATTGTATTGAACGAGCAGAGGAAGTGGTTTGTCCAGAAGGGGCCATCTTTGTTTGTTGTAATGCAGAAGGACTTGGATCGACAGGTACCAGTACTCCTAAATCTTGTAACTGTTCCAAGAAATAGTCAGGATTTACTTGGGCATCTGGTGGTGAAAGCAATGTTTCTACTGCATTCGGACTTCCTTGATTTGGTGAATCAATTGGTACAAGAACACCCAAGCTTTGCAGCTGCTGTATCAGTTGTTCGTGCTTTGGAATATTTTTTTCTTGCTGAGCACCTGGACTCATTGGATTGGAAAGCGGCGTGACTTTGTTTGGCACTGGTTCTATGTCCGCTAAAACAAGTAATGCTTCCAGAAGTTCTGAATTTGTCATGTCGGCTACGGATGAATTTCCTGAATTTCCTGAATTGTTTGTACCTACGGTCCCCGATTCCTGAAAAACAGTCCCCGTCCCTGTCATAGATGGTTTCCTGCCAATACTTATATCAGCACAGTTTACATATTCCTCCCTATATCCATCTCTGTCTGGCACTATAAGATACAAAGAAATAATACATACTTGAAAAATCTGGAGAAATATGTAAAGAAGCCGAAAAGAATAGGCAAATACCTTTTCTTACCTGATAAAAATTTCCACTGTAAAACACAGTGTACACAGGTAAATCCAGTAGGAAGTTTGGCGATTATTCTATGATTAAGCATGTTCCTAATCGACGGAGTCACATAATACCTTGAGCGAAAATCAGAATTTACTGAAGTGTCATCCCTCACAAGCAGCACGTTCTGATCAAGACACGCCTGAGTTACACCTCCAGGAAGATTATCCTTAGAACAAATCCGGAATTCGTAACTTCCGAGTTGTGGACTGACATTTCGGACAATGATTTGTATCTGCTCCGTTCCTAGAGGGAATGATTTAGATATGAGTCCAGTGGCGTACTTTCCTCCATACTCATGGGCACGAATTCCATCGTAGGCATCGCCACAGACCCCACATCGACCCTGGTTCTTCATCTGAACCTTAACATAAAAAATAATATATATATATAATTCTTAATAATCTGTCATTTCAAACATGGTTATGTATTTCAATCTTTTAAAGAATTTAGGATATTCATTAGCAATATGTTTGCAATGTAGAAATGCCTTTATGAAGTACACTTTCATATATTCGATTCTGGACATCAATTCTTTTTTACACGGCAGATGTGACTGGTCGACAGGGGATATTTACTCCTCCTATGCACCTGATCTCACCTCTGATGTTTGCAAGTGTGTGTGTGTTTTTGCCCATTTCTTGATTTGTACTGTTTTGTGCTTTTTTACTATTTGCATTGTAAAATAGTTTAAATAAGGATATTCACATTGAAAACAACAGAAGATAAAGGAGAAAGAATAAATAAGATTCAACATCATTTTAATAAATTGCCGGATACATGTCAGAAAAAATAAGTCCTCTTTTAAATAAATAATACCTTGTCGAAAAGGGTCTTTTTTACGATTTTACGACTGAGCAAACATTATAAAGTCTTTGGGATTTAAAATTTTGGGGTAAAAAGTCATTAATACATTTAATGATCATTGAGAGAAACAACACGTATGAAACATTTGTAAGATGAATGACCCCTAATTATTTTCATGAAGAATTGTTTTCTAAAATGACAAATTTTGCAAAGAATTAAAAGCATTAGGCATTTGTGTAATAGCTTTTAAAATTATTTAATAGATTCATAAAATAAACTGCTAATGACACACATGTTTCCTTATTACTTATTTTTACATTTGATGTAGACCGTTTTGTTGAAAGATCTAAGAACTTTATTCCTTTTGAATTTTAATTTATGTTAATTTTTTTCCCATTGTAACCAAGGTAATGAGATGTAACATATTTATTTATATAATATCTTCTGCATACATTGAATGAATCATGAAGTTATTTGAAACCTTGATCTGTTAAATATTGATGAAGCAGAATACTGATAAAAAATAGATTTTCTCTGTACTTTTCTTCATTAAAATTTTTCTCGACCAATTTTTGAAATTCATTTTAATTGATAAATGAAGGTTCAGTGGATTCAATCATCAACTTTGATAAGCAGAAGGATAGTAGATAAACAAACCTGTTTCCCTCCACAATTCAGGGAATTGTCCTCATTATTAACAGGTGTGTTAAATCCATACCGCCACATAGATCCGCGCGCGGGTGGATCCTCCAGGTGCCCGTATTGTTGAAGACTACCCTGAACAAGGAGGGACAAAATCAGAACAAGCGAGGTCCGTCTGCTCATGGCGCCCGCGGAAGTCTACAATAACAGAAATGTAGCTTCTACTTATTAAACCTGTAAAATATTACTAAAAAATGTTAAACAAAAAGTATATATATTATTGTGGTTTTTCTAACCACATAGATTTTTTTCCTATGTCATAATTCGAATAAGACGTTTATGTCATGTTATGAATTAAGTGTATAGTATTCTGTATAAATGTGTCATATAAATTCCCCCGGGATCTTAGATTCTATTATTAATTTTATAATTACAAGTACATGATGCTTCAAATTTTCTCTGACAGTAGCATTTTTATGATAAACAGAACTCATTTAATGGGATGGCTGAATAAATAAATCTTAATTCAAGCACTTATTTTGGGACATTTTATTCAACATTAAAGATATTAATGATGTCGAATATATTTTGAATGGCAACGAAAAACAAGATAACTTGATCTGTCACTTTTGAAACGTATGTAGAAAACCTTCTATTGAAGTAGGCATACATGTGTAATATTTTAAGTTGAACACAAAAATAATTACTGACATTTTATCTTTATTGCTGAATTTTGTTTAACATGTTGCTTTTTTTTCTTTAGAGACTCCTATATTATTTGAATGTGAAAATCCATATTGGAAAAAACAATGCACAAACCAAGAGAGCTATGTGATTAAAAATTCAAATTTAATTATACTGCAAGTCAATCTGTCAAAATGATGCATGTTTTAAACTATATGTCCTGAATGAACAACGATAAAAACTTGCATGTCATGTACACAAAGCATATAGTGACAAATTTTCTCTAGAAGTATGACTTTTCTACCTTCTGAATTTGACTAGGTTCAAAATAACAATGACATAGTAACATTTTTGAAATTAATACGGATTATGACCCATGCATTCCAAAGTCTTTGCCATATAGAGTTTTTTTTTTTTTTTTTTTTTTTTTTTTTTTTTTTTTTTGCATATTCTACAAGTATATTTTGGATTCTTTTCTTATTTAATTATTACACCGAAGATTTTCTTTATTCTTCAAGACTTGTATCCTGTGAACCATATGAAAAAGTATTCTGTAATTTAATTATTAATTTGATTAATTATTGAAAACCTCGATATAAATACATGTATGTATTGCTAAAATCAAAAACTGTCAGAAAAATTTCTTTTGAATAAACTTCCTTTCATCATATAAAAAATAATTCAAAACCAAACTTTCTTACATTATAATCTAATTATGACTTATATTATGAATCTACATAATGAACAATTCCTCCTTTTTATTTATTTGTTTAGCATTAATTGTCATCTTTTCGAACATATAACAAAGTGCACGTGTCAGTACACGCCTTGTAAGTCTTGCATTAGATGAAACAAGTATATACCGGTAAAATATCAAGGGGTCATAAGCTGTGAAAGGTTTATTCATTAAGAAATTAAATTTGTCACACATGAAGATCATAAACCGATATAATTCTAAATCTTATATCGAACTTTTAATGCTAGTAAACAAACCAGGGATTATTTTTTTCCCTTTTACCGTGAAACTTAATATAGATGTGAAAATAGTTTTATTTTGTGTATCATAGAATTTTCTTCATATAATTTGTCTAAATTTTGCTACCTGCCGTCTATAGAAATTTAGACGGCGAATACTTTACTCGATTTTCCAAGAACAAATAAGTACCTCTGTTTTTAAATGTATGTGTACTATTTCAGTTGATATACATTAAATATCAGGTCAGAAAGGTTATGTTTAGCTACATAGGAGTATGTTAAAATAACATTTTTTGTGATATATGGAAACGACCAAATGTGTTTGCAATGTTGACATATATACATCATGAGTGGTTTAGATGCAATGTCCATGTACACCAATAGGTGTTAAAAAGTAAAAGAGTTTGTGTGAATTGCAGTTCTCGTGTTGATAGGTAGGATAATGTCAAGCTCTTATCAAAGAAGTACTGAGATGTAAATACAAAGATATAGGATATGACATTTAAAACTGAGAAAGTGACCTACATAATGTTATATTCTGCACTTGAGTAGGCTAAAAATGGCATTTTGCATTCTTGTATTGTCTATACTTAAATTCCATAAATGGGAGTGTTTACAATCTGTATATAATGACGTTTTTCATACGTCCTCTAACAAAAACTAGATAGAACTTTTTTTTTTTCTAGAGCGTTCTTACACGCAAGGTTGGATATCTACAGAAGGTCATGGATATGTTTGAAAAATCGAAGATTATACAGTGTAAAATGATTACAGCTTTAAAATATAATGGTTTGCGGTGAAAATGGTCAAAATCTTCAATGTAATGGTTTATGGTTTAAGATCTTACAATATACATGTACATGTACTTTCAAACAATTCACTAAAAACCATTTAATTAAGTATATTTATGTATTATAAAAATAATTCTTAATATAAAAATGTAAATAAAGATTATTATATATACTTTATCAAATAAAACTCTCTCTATATCTTTCAACAAATTTGAAAACTCTATTTCTCAAACGATAACTTTTATCATTAAAAGAGAAGACCTATTAATAAACTTTTAGAAATGCTATCTTCATTATCAGAAAAATGTAGGTCTCTATCACTTTCTGTGTCTTCAGTCAGTATCACTTGGCTTTTTGGTCACTCGGTATATATTAAGTTTATGTACTTTTTATCATGATAATATTATTATTAAAAGGAGAGCATTTGAAGAACACCTAATAATACATCCACCCAAATGCTGTTAAACTAAAGGAGTTCACACCCTCAAAAAAGGTTGAAAACTCAGATGCTGTCTTTCTTTATTTATAAATATCCGGCGGCATTTTTTAATTCATAATTAGAAAGCTACGTTGGTCATTGGTACTTTTTCTGTGATTAATTTGTACCTTATAATATTTAAATCATTATTTTAAAGAAAAAATACAAATCAATCACTTGAATGCAAAATATCACAATCGTGAGCAAGCTCACATACAGTAGTAATTTGGTATAAATAGGAAACAAAATACCTTTTTGATAAAGTGCAACAAAAAGTTGCTTTTAAATAATGTAAGACAAAATTTTTTTTGTCGTTTTTTTTTTTTTTTTTTTTTTTGACATCCACATTTTCTTTGCCTGGCCTACCAGTTAATTGATGCTTTTCTATTAAACTGTTCGTGTAATATTTATAATTAAACAAAATTAAGTGAAAATTCAGTGATTGTTTTAATCTATTTTAAAAGGTCCTACTTCAATCACAAATATGTAATTATATTTGAGAGTTGACACAGATGAATTCAAAAGTCTTAAGCTTGGAGATTCTTAGCAAAATCAAAAAATTGGAGATAAAGATTCTCAAATAACTCAATATATGTGAGAATATAATTGAATTCTGATCTTAGACATCTCGACATTTGTTGAAATTATGCGCATACTGAAATATGGCATTCGATGGAAACTCGTTAAAAATGACATGAACTGACTGGAATAAAATAATGAATTGACAGTCAAGGAAGCCATTCGTGGATTTCGTAAGTGATACATCAACCAAAATAGAAAATTATAGGTATCACTGGTGTATGTCTAATTTCTTTTAAATGTATAAAAGCCAATCCAAGAAAAAAAAGACAAATTACAGACACCACGTGAAACAGGTTATATATTTACATTTTTATATATATTCATTTGATATTCTAATCAATAAAGATCTTTTGAAAAAGAAAACCACAATAGTAACATCTTGATTATATTCTCCAGAATGTAATCAAAAAGATATTCATGATTGCATTCAGAAAAAAAACTATAATTATTTCTTTCAACTCGTTAGTGAAGTGGAGAAATTAAATGTTATACTTTCAAAGAAGTGGCTCGAATACAACAGAAAAAATGCAGCATATTGAAAAATTATACATTTACTAACTGTAAAATTAATTTATAATCTTTTTTATATTCATTAACATACCTTGGATTTCACTATAAAAATGATTTCACAAGCATTTAAATCCAACTAGAGAGATATATCCTCACGAAATAAAGGGAACAGTGGAATTAAATCTGGTACTCGAACTACCAAGTTTCTACCATTGTTTCAGCCTTTAAAATCCAACAACCTCCGAATCCGCGCTCCTTGAACAGACTGGTGGTAACACAACCGTGAAATCGTGATGACGTCGACAATTAAATGCTTGATTAGACACATAAAAATAATCCATCAACAAGTGATTACATATTCCTATGTTTCATGTATTAACTCATTAATCAATTTTTTTTTTCAATTTTTGTTATATAGATTATTTTTCCTCATCTTTAAGAAAAATAAGAGGCAGATGTAAACACTGACAAAGTCCCAAGTGACGAAATCCAAGAATAGCCATTTTGACAAAAAAGCATGACCAATCTAGAACGTGGCTAGAAAGTTAATCTATTTTTAATGACGAAGACCAGAATATCTAGGGATAAATTAAAAGCCCTAAGATGAGGAAAGTTACATTGATAATTAAATTTTTAAGACTGTTAATCAGTAATGCCAGTTACCTGCGCAAAGATTTCATTATTCCTGATTTTAATGTTACATATGTCTATAAACTGTGTCCTATGACCCATTACGCAACCACCGCATTAAAAAACGAAGCCCCCTTAGAATCCTTGCTAAAGAAGGGAGAGGAATATCTATATCTCTTTTTTTTTGATGCCCTAGCTATTTGGAGGAATAAGTAGGAAGAAAACAAAAAACATCAAAAACAAATCAACTTAACGACAACCCTAATATCAAACTACAGCTACACCACAGACAACAGTGTGACAGCTGAAAGAGCACACGGAAAGAACCATGCAGCAGGCTACTCCAGATCCTCCCTTACAAAAAATGCTATAGTTAACTATAGTTAATTACAGTTTACCATCACTGTCTGAGATCAAACAGAATCCTAGCTCTCAACTCAACCCTAATGAATTAAAAAAAGATAATGATCTAGAAAAAACTATGAACAATCTAAATCTGTGAAGAGGGTATGAAACACGGACCCCTGGAAACTGCAGAGGTGTGATCAGGTGCCTAGGAGGAGTAAGATATAGAAGATTGATATCAACAGCAAATAGACAATTAGCGTAGTGCTTTATTCAGTCTCACAGTTTATCGCCTTTCCACTTTTTGGATAAAATTCTCAGTTTACTTACAACGCAACAGAAGAACACCTCGTCGCAATGCTTATGGAAGAAGAGAAGAGTATGATTATAGGAATCCTTGTATAGGGCATAGTATCCGTAGACTAGCAAAGAACCCATATGCTATATGCATAGAGTATCAATATAAAGTAACTATAGAAGGACCAAACGGCCTAAAAAACGACATCCATCTATCTACTTTAAGGAGTCTACATAAATGAAAGCAGTGTAAGAAGTAGTAGAGTTTTAGGTCTGTAACTTAAAAAAAAACTTTGACGATTGACAAATTACTAGTCAAATAACTAATTATACTCACAAATGATTTGGAAAATTCTTACAAACCTTTTAGGTCAAAACAGATTAATATTTTTTTTTATCATTTTTTATTTTTTTAAAATATTTTTTTCTCTTGGTCTATTTGATAAAATATAAACGAACATACGAACAAAATAAAATATTGTTAGGCCATTATTTAAACATTGAATTTTCTTCGGATTTTTCCGTTTGCCCGATCATGACAATGAGCACACGGCGGGTTTGACTAATCGACAGGGGTTGCTTACTCCTCGTTGGCACCTGATCCCACCTCTGATGTTTTAAAAGTCCGTGTTTGCTCTGTTCTCGATTTGTAAAGTTTCAATGGACTGTTGTGCTTGATCTCTGTTCGTTATCTCCATATTTCATTGATAGGAACGATACATCTGAAATACTGCCTGTGTACTAAAAAAGCGGGCTTCATATTTTAGCTGCTTTGGCGCAGACAACGATGTGCTAATTCATGAATATCGATAAGAATTAATTTATAAATACAAAATACGGCACGGACATGTATAGCACTGATTCATAATTTCACCAAAAACTCCATACCCAATGATTGCGCTAAATTTTAAATACGCCAATTTATGTACACGTACAGTATACTGTTGGTACTTTCTGTCATAATGCACACTAAGTGGTCAACTAAATAAAAGGGAAAACGTCTCCTTTGTTTACGTTTTTAAGTTCCCGTTTAAAAAATAACTGTTGAAAGAATAGCAATGCTTAAGTAAAATGAAATTTGAATGTTTAAGTAAAGCAGCTGTTATTTTACTCGAAAAAGGGGTAAAAAAGTTGACAAAACAAGGATATCAACAGTCTTGTTTGAAGTCATCTTTTCGCAAGTTTTTCGGTCGATACAATGACCTTGTCAGCACACACAACCTATCATTGAGTCAAATGCTGACTGACGTTTTTCATACTAATTGTTAGGCCATTATTTATACACTGAACTGTCTACAGATTTTCCCGGTTTTTGTTTCCCGATCATGACAAGGAGCACACGGCGGGAGTGACCGGTTTGCAGGGGATGCTCACTCCTCCATGGAACCAGATCCCACCTCTAAATTTTGAGGTCAGTGTTTGCTCTGCTCCAAATTTGTATCGTTTCATTGGACTTTCGAGATTCGCCAATGGATAGTACATGTTCGAATATCTTTTTGTTTTCGAATACATCTATTCTGTACGTTCTTCAAAATGTCATAATTTCAATAAAAGCACGTATGACCAACATGGAATACTAGTATGAAGATAACGTACAGTAATCATAAACTCAAAATTCATAGCAAACACGAACCTCTTAAAACATCAGAGTTGGGATCAACATGGATCCATGGAGAAACTTTCCCTTTCGACCGGTCACACGCACGGAGTGAATTTTGTCATGATCAAGTAAATTGAGAGATCCATAGTCAGATCAATGTGAAAAAGGTCTAACAAGGTTTAACAATTTGTATGAAAGACGGCAGTCAACCGATCCCACCTCTGCCTTTCCAGTACTCTGTGCTATTTCCCTGTTTAAGATTCTTTTTACGCCCCCGTATCGAAGATTCGGGGGTATATAGTTTTTGCCCTGTCCGTCCGTCCGTCCGTCCGTCTGTCTGTCTGGCTGGCTAACATTGCCCATAACTTTTGATTGATTGGAGCTATGGCTTTCATATTTCACATGTGTATTCCTTGTGACAAGACCTTTCTTTGGGTACGACCATATTTGACCCTTTGACATTGACTTTGGAATTTGACCTACTTTTGAAAAACATTAACATTGGCCATAACTTTTGAACGGTTGGTGCTAAGGTTTTCATACCTCACATATTTAATCCTTGTGACAAGTCCTTCCTTTGGATACCAACAACTTTGACCCTTTGACCTTGACCTTGGAGATTGACCTACCTTTGAAATACTTTAACCTTGGCCATAACTTTTTAACAATTGATGCTAGGTATTTCATACTTCACATATGTAATCCTTGTGACAAGTGCTTTCTTTGGATACCAACAATTGTACTCCATTTACCTTGACCTTGGAGTTTGGCGTACTTTTGGAAAACTTAAACCTTAGCCATAACTTTTGAACAGTTGGAGTTAGGGCTATCATACTTCACATATATAATCTTCGTGACAAGACCTTCCTTTGGATACCAACAACTTTGACTCTTTGACCTTGACCTTGGAGTTCGACCTACTTTTGAAAAACTTTAACCTTGCCCATAACTTGTGAACCGCTGGTGCAAGGGCTTTCATACTTCACATATGTAATCCTTGTGACAAGACCTTTCTTTGGATACCAACAACTTTGACCCTTTGACCTTGACCTTGGAATTTGACCTACTTTTGAAAAACATTAACATTGGCCATAACTTTTGAACGGTTGGTGCTAAAGTTTTCATACTTCACATATATAATCCTTGTGACAAGTCCGTCCTTTGGATACCAACAACTTTGACCCTTTGACCTTGACCTTGGAGATTGACCTACTTTTGAAAAACTTTAACCTTGGCCATAACTTTTGAACAATTGATGCTAGGACTTTCATACTTCACATATAAAATCTTTGTGACTAGTCCTTCCTTTGGATACCAACAACTTTGACCCTTTGACCTTGACCTTGGAGTTTGACCTACTTTTGAAAAACTTTAACCTTGGCCATAACTTGTGAACCGTTGGTGCTCGGGCTTTCATACTTCACATATGTAATCCTTTTGACAAGACCTTCCTTTGGATACCAACAATTGTAATCCATTGACCTTGACCTTGGAGTTTGACGTACCTTTGGAAAACTTAAACCTTGGTAATAACTTTTGAACGATTGGTGCTTCAGCTTTCATATCTCACCAGTATATTTCTTGTCAGAAGGCCTTTCCTTAGGCACCTTTTTTTTTACCATTTGACCTTGACCTTGGTGTTTGACTTACTTTTGAAAAACTTTAACCTTTTCCATATCTATTTAATGGTTGCTGCTAGGGCTCTCATATTTCACAGGTATATTCCTCGAGACAAGACCTTACTTTGGGTACCAACATATTTGCTTTGCATTTGAGAAAGTTTAACCTTTGCTATAAGTTGCCATACGGGGGCATCAGTGTTTCACAAACACATCTTGTTTTTCACTGGATTCATGAGATTGATCTTTGTTTGTTATCTTCACCTTTTACATCAACATTGTTCGTTTAAATATCCAAATATGAAACAGTTGTGTCAGACTCTGTGGTGTCTTTTATTTTCGAGTTCAGTGGAATATATCGAATCAATGTATGGAAGAAAATATTCATTGTTAATTGATAAAACGTCATCGACGTATCTAAATGAATTTAAATAATTGAAGGCCATGGCAAGATACTTCTTTTCATGAAGGAGTATTGAATTACAGCTCCATAAAAATACATGGACCTGTCTGCTTAGAACATCAAAATCATTCCATTTCAAATACGGGACGCTTAATAGTATTCAATTTTTTCTCATTAATTTATTTTCATTGTAATTTCATTTTAATTTAATTACCTTTTTGATCCGTTAATATATGATGATGACTGAGGGTTAGATGTTCAAGTTTTGTTTCCTATGACTCAAATTTAATAAAATTATTTCCCTTGAATTTTGTTTACAGTTATATCTGTTCGTACTTTTTACCTTTGCAAGCTGATTTTTAGCTGAGTACTCTGATACGTCTGAATTTTTACATGTCAAATTTTGTTGGAAGAGCTAAAAATAAATAACTTCAATAAATTATCCTAGATTGCTTTGGGGTCTTACTATTAATAAAGTGACCATGATGCATAGATTTATCATAACTATCCCTCTACACTAAAGTAAATGTAACAGTTGCTTTGATGTTTTTTTTAATGTTGCAAGTATAAAATCTACAGTGTGGGAATTAATTCAAAATTTATAACATGAAACTTGTAAATTTTTTTTATAAACTACCACGACATGACATTTTCCTATCAGTTCTCTGGATATTGAGCGGTTTTAACAGTGTTGGTGTCTCATGCAAGTTAGAAATCTAGTTGTAGTTTTGTTTTTTTTGTGATCAACTGTAACATATTTTGGGTCCTCGAATTTCAAAAATTAAAAATTAGGCGTGTGTACTGATTAATATGGCATTTAAAAACTCCGAAACGATTA